ATTACAAGTAAGTTAATGCTGTAATGAAATGCTTCTAATCATGTGGTTATTAAATAATTTTAAAAAAAAGTTAATAGCAATAAACATACATATTTAATCTTGCTGTAGACACTTCATTTTTACTTCCATTTTCCATTTCACCAAAACTCCCATCAAGAGCCTACATGATGCTTCTCTAAGAGATATAGAAAATGACTTCTGCTTTCTGCAGATAGGTCTTAACTTACTTGTAATAGAATTAGTATCAGGTGTCATTCTATAATGGTTAGTACTGGTGGTGGTGGTGCTGTGCACATGTGCTTATGCATGTGAATGTGTATATCTGAGAATATAAATCTGGATGCAGGTATGAAAAAATTATATTATAATCATTGGTTTCAAACAAGCCTGATTAGGTGACAGAAACAGAAACATATCCACCATGTCCTTCAGGAAAATTATTTCTGTCATTGTGCCAAAATACCTGAGACCAACAACTCACAAGGAGGCTTTGCTCCATTGTTTTGGGCATGTGGTACCATAGTCTGTCTTGGCACTAACAGTTCATTGAAGATAACTGTTCACTTCAGAGCATCAGGAAAGAAGAGAGGGGTTGGAAAAGGTTGGGGTCCCAAAAGTATCTTCAAGGGAGCACTCACAATTACTTACTTCCTGCCACTAGATTTCCTCCCTGAGTCCCTCCTCCTAAAGTTTCCCCCATCTCCCCAGGTCCTACTTCCTAAGGGCTCCATCATCTTCTCTAGTTCCTGAGCGCATGGGCCTTTCAGGGGCACTTGTGATTGCCACTAAGCATCCTTCATAGGCAATGGTATTCATGCAAGCTGTGTGGTATCCACAGTGTCTCATCACAGTTAAAGTCACCAACCACAGATTCCATAGATCCAGTGATGCCATTTGGTTAGATGAGGACTCTTTGGTGCAGGAAAGACAAGATCTGAAAAATATCTTCCCCTCCCCTCCTTCCCCCGATAAAAGTGGTTTCATGAATAAATCCAACACTTACAGCTTCTCTTGTGAATGAAAATACAATTATAAATCATTCTGATTGTATTTATAACTTTTACTCAAATTTGGAAACTGAGTAAGTAATCTCTGGGCATTCTGGCTGTATACTTAGTTTTATACTTCAGAGAATATAAAGTTTAATGTCCTTTTTTCCTAGTAATTGTCTATAAATGGATATCGTATATTAAGAGCTAAACAGACACCAGTTACAATAACCACAATCCATTCTGCTATGAGACTGAGAATTATTACCAAGGGACTTGAAATTTAAAGGAGAAAAAAAGAGAGAGATGACAAAGGTTAAATGAAGCTACCACACAAAATGAGGAGAAACACAGCTACTAAGTCTCTATGATTAATATAGATAGCTCTGGCAATTTACACAAGAAGACTTAACTGTCTAAGTCAGACTTTCTTCATAAATGTCTCAAACATAAAAATATATGACCTTCAAAAATCCCATAAAAAGTTCCAAAAAACCATAGTTCAGAAGAGTAAGGTGGTTTCCCAAATCTAGTGCGTTTGTGTGTGGTGTGTGTGCATGTTTGGATGTATGTGTATGTGTGAATGTGTTTTTGTGTTTGTTGTATATATGTATGTATGTATGCATGTATGTATATGTGTGCTTGTGTATGTAGGCATGTGTTTGTGTTTGGTGTGTGTAGCATGACTACATGTCCAGTCCTTGGATTTCAGATTTTTCACCTCGGCACTCATGGTCCTTTTCATTACTCACATCACAAATATTTACTGAAGTTAAATTCTACCATATACCAAACTCCTTGGCTAATGGGTTTTTTTTTTTTTTTTTCTGGACATTAAAGTTGCTCAAAGTATCAAAACTAAAATATCACAGTCAATTTCCCTTGTGACGTAAACCTAAATGAACAAGTCACAAAACTCACTGAAGTACTGTGTAAGTAATATGAACACAGGACTGGAGAGATGGTGCAGCAGTTACAAGCAGGTGCTGCTTCCGATGGGTTCAGTTCCTGGCACCCATATGGCAGCTCACAACCACCTGTAACTCCAGTTTCAGGAGAGATTCCATGCCCTCTTCTGGCCTCTGTGGGCACTACACTTACACACATGTGGTGCACATACATACATGCAAACAATTACATACATTAAAAATGAATAAAACTTTAAAAAGAAATGTGTATATAATAAAAATTGAGAGTAATGTCATTAGGAAAACTAATAGAAATGATGACACATGTAAGAGATTGTTGAGATTCTAGTTCAGCCTCCAATGTAGAGGGTTAAGGGTAGGCAAGTCCGCGGGTAATCTACATTTGTGTGGATTTATACATGTTCAAAAAATATGTTCATTTTTGTCACAGACATGCTCATGTTGTGTTTGTGTATTTGTCCTTTTACATAGAAGCCAAACTGAGCATCACTGAGTGCTAAACCCTCTGGGAGAAGTTTTGAAGGGGACAGGTGAGCACAGTTTCAAGTTATCACCCCATATGTGATAAGGATAAAGTAGGTTGTGAGATAAATATTGCTAAAGCTAATACTGCTTTACTAAGCTATGATTTAAATGTATAATAATCACAAGTCATGAAGCAAATTGATGTCATATACCTACTGACATACTACAGAGTAGGGGACAAATCACCAGAAATATTTACTCTGGACCTAAGAATAAGAAGCAATAGAAGGGGCTGGAGAGACAACTCAGTGGTTAAGAACATTGGCTGCTCTTCCAGAGGACCTGGGTTTGGTTCCCAGTACCCACATGGCAGCTAACAATCATCTGTAACACAAGTTCCAGGGGATCCAATGCCCTGTTCTGACCTCCGCAGGCACTGCATGCACTTGGTACACTTACATACATGCAGACAAAGCACTCATACACATCAAATAAAAATAAGTAATTTAAAAAGAAACAATAGATAAACAAATCCAGATTAAAGCTCATTTGGTAAAACAATAGTAAGTACTCTTCTAAAACTATCCAAATATCGCATACTCTCTCTCATAACCTATCTTAGCTTTTAGTTTTCATATATGTGTGCTTATGTGAGGGTGGGTGTGGATGGAGGTCAGAAAACTAGAAAGGCCTGTAAGAAGCAGTGTAGGGAGGGCTAAGGGCACACGAGGCAAGAAAAAGGGGGTTACTCTGGGTAGACAGAACAAAAGGGACAGGGTAGAGATGCAGGAGGGTGGTAAGGTCAGGAAGAGGATCAAGCCAAGCAGAGGGTCCAAAATGCCTCAAGAAACTTAGCTATTTTGTGTGTTAATGAAAAACTATGTTTCAAAGCCAGTATTATAGAAGAAAACAACAGTGAAGGAACTCTTCCATTTTAATGAAATAGAGGATAAAACACTCACAAAAAGCTACATCTGCCCCATATCTGGTTCCTAGATTAAAACTAAGGCAGATACAAAGGCTGTAATTGGGAAAATGGAGGAAATTTGGACATCGAGCTTATACTAAATATTATCATTGCAGTCTTATATTTCCTGGGTGTGATAATGGTACTGTGATTATTTGCATATCAAAAAATTAATAAATAGGAAAATAACACTACACAAAGGCTGGAAAGATGGCTCAGTCATTCAGAACACTTGCCACTTGCCACTCTTCCAGAGGACCCGAGTTCAGTTCCCAATACCCATGTTGGACAATTCACAATCACCTGTAAATCCAGTTCTGGGGACTCCAAAGCCCTATTCTGGCAGAGAGAGGGAGGGAGGGAGGGAGAGAGAGAGGAGGGAGAAATAACACTACACAAAGGCTGGAAAGATGGCTCAGTCATTCAGAACACTTGCCACTTGCCACTCTTCCAGAGGACCCGAGTTCAGTTCCCAATACCCATGTTGGACAATTCACAATCACCTGTAAATCCAGTTCTGGGGACTCCAAAGCCCTATTCTGGCAGAGAGAGGGAGGGAGGGAGGGAGAGAGAGAGGAGGGAGGGAGAGAGAGAGGAGGGAGAGAGAGAGAGAGAGAGAAGGGAGAGAGAAGAGGAGATGTGAACAAAACTCCATAGAGTTTCAAGAGAAACAGACAC